GAGTTTAGAATCCATTCTCTCTTGCAACTCTCTTGATTTCCTCACCATTTAGAAGTTCTGTAACTACACTATTTTCCCCCTTTTAGTTTGTAGGTGTCCTCATTTGCCAGTTGATGTCTCTGCTTCCCTGTCTACAGTCTTGTAAGCTTATTTGCTTTGGGTACTTCCAAAACTGGGTTGGTTTCTGGATTATGTCATTATGTATGTTAATGGTCGGTTGTTGTTTGCTGTTGTTGGTTCTCTGGCCATATGACTCCCTTTAGCATCTCTTGTAAGATTGGTCTTGTTTTAACAAATTCTCGTAATTTCTGTTTATCTGAAAATGTCCTAATTTCACCCTCATATTTGAGGGACAGGTTTTTTTCTTTTTAATTTTTATTGTGATTTGGGTTAAACTTTACAAAGCAAATTCACTTTCCATAACGTAGCTCACATACACTTTGTCTCATGACCTTGACTGAAATTTCCCACAATCAACAGCTCCCTTCCCACTACCTCCTCATAGTTACCTCTTCCCTGTGTCTGTCCCTTCCTTGCACTCCTGCCCCCTGAGCTGTCTCCCTGTACATACACAGCCCTTCTATTCTCCCATGGTTGATCTCTCCAAGGAGTGTATCTACATAATGTAAATATTCGGCTCATATGCCTGTCTTTTGTTTGGCTGGAAGCCATAGGAGTGGATTCAATTCCAGACCTGAAAGGCAGCTAGGGGCCATAATCTCAGTGGTTCTATCAGGCTCTATCAGACCAGAAAACTTGTGTCCCCTCCCCCCTTTAAAAAAAAAAATAATAATTTTGAGTTTTGTTCTCCCACTCTGTCCAGGATCTCCTACATAGATTCCCCCCTCCGAGTGGTTGATAGTAGTAGCTGGGTACCATCTAGTTCTTCTGGTCTCATAGTAATATAGGCGATGATCACATGGTGTACCAGTTGCTTGAAATATGTTTCCACGCATCTTTGGTTTTCTTCATTCTTCTTTGCTTTGGATGAGGAGAGACCCATCGTTGCTTCCAGATGAGCACTTAAAGCATTTAAGATCCCATTCACTACTCACCAAAATAGGATGTGGAACAATGTTTTTGTGTCGTATGTTATGCCAACTGAGCTTGATGTTGAGGGACAATTTTGCTGGTTATATAATTCTTGGTTGGGAATTTTTTTCTTTCAGTGCTTTATGTTTACCACCCCATTGCCTTCTCAAACTCTGGGGGCATAGACTGCTTAAGCATTTGAGCCTAAGGCATTTGACTGCTAACCAGAAGGCTAGCAGTTCAAACCCACCAGCCACTCCTCGGAAGGAAGATGGGGCAATCTATTTCCACAGTGATAGTGCCTCAGAAATCCAAGGAGGGGTCGCTATGAGTCAGATCCAACTCGACGGCAGTGAGTGAGTTAGTTAATTTTATTGCCTTCTCGGTTGTATGGTTTCTGCCAAGAAATCAGAGCTTAGTCTTATTGGTTGCCCTTTGTAAGTAACTTTTCATTTTTCCCATACTACTTTCAGGATTCTTTCTTTGTCTTTGGTTTTGGTGAGTTTGATGATGATATGTCTTGATGATTTTCTTTTGGGATCCATCCTGTTTGGGATTTGTTGGGCTTCTTGAATGGATATATTCTCATCTTGCATCATATCAGGGAAATTTTCTTCCAACAAATTTTCAACAATTGTCTCTTGTGATTTTATTTGTCTCTTCTTTTTCTTGAATTCTGATTACATGTAGGTTATTCCTCTTGATGATCCCACATGAACCTTAGGCTTTCTTCATTTTGTTTTGATCTTTTTTCTGATTGATCCCCTTCCAAAGAAGGATTCAGGTATTTGTCTTCAATCTCACTAATTCTGTCTTCCATTGATTCAGTTCTACTCCTTTGCCTGTTTGATGTGTTATCTATTTCTGAAAATTTCATATTAATCTTCTGGATTTCTATTTGTAGATTTTGTATCATTTCTAATTTTTCATTTATTTTGACATTTTTTCTTGTGTTGTCTTCCAAAATTGTTCTAGGGTTTTCATTGTGTTTTTCTCAATTTTGTCAGTGTTTTCCTTGATCTATTTCTGAATCCTAAATTAAAACTACCTAAACAGAATTCTTTTGAATTCCTTATCAGGGAGTTCCAATACTGCTTCTTCCTCAATCATGCGTTCTTGGTCTGTATCCTGGTCCCATGTTTCTACTGCTTTATCTTGCTTCTTTGTGTGGACTGTGATAGTCTGTTGTCTCCAAGACATTGTGATGTTTTTGTTTTTGTATTTAATTGGCGATTGTATGTTGGAGTGATTCACCCAGGATTTTCATTTTCTTTGTTTTGTTTGGGTGTTATCTGAGTAAGAAGAGTACTGTGCTCCTATATTTGCTAGTTGGCAGCACCTGTCCACTTACCACCTGTCTCCTTCCCACTCATCAGCCTCCCATATGTCTGTGTTGTCCTTGGCAAGCAGAGTCTATTGTTTGGTCCCTGGAGTCTGAACAAGATTGCTGGTGCTTTAAATATCCAAAATGACCTCTGCTTGTAAACATTCAAAATGGCTGTGCCCTCCAGACAGCTGAAAGTCCATAGCTCAGTTTGTCTCCTTCTTTGCTATTTTCCTTTTTAGTTATCAGCGACCAGCACAGTTGTTCATGCAACATTTGGTGAACAGGGACAATTTTTAGGTTAATTCTCAGGTCTTAACACCACTTGGAAATATTCAGGCTGTCTGTGCCATCAGGATAGCTTACAGTCCATAGCTCCATTTGTCTCCTTACTCACTGTTTTTATTCAGGTTCTTCTACTAGTTGGTGTTTAATCCACTTCTGTATCCTTCCTTTCAAGGCTCAGGCCTCCAGGAGTATCTTCTGTATCTGTGTCAATTGGTTTCTTTTTTTCTTTGTTGAAGAGAGTCTGTGTATCTTGTCAGCCTCTTCTGCCATCTTACCAGAAGTCTCCAAATGTTTACATTTGAAGTGAGTCAAAATGGAGATTTTTTTTTTAGGTGCATCTTGATGTTAGTTTTTATCATATAAATTTATTCTGGTTTTGTACTACATTTGGGAATTTGATCTTTGGTCTCATTTTTGGTTTGTAACACATTAGGAGCATTAAGTGTCTAGGAATCCAGAGAACAATGTTCTAGTCACAAGTCCTCCACTGATAAGCTATTTGACCTAGGAAAGGTCACTGAGTACTCCCCTGGGCCTTTATCTTTTAATCCAAAGATGAGGAAGTTACACAATGTGATCTCTGTTCCTGTTGTGATATTCTGAGAGTCTGTTCACATACTCAGAGCTCAGACCATTGGTATCAGGTGCTCAATACATTTGGTTTTTTTAAAACATATCAATTATTAGTTTATCCAGGAATAACTATGTTATTCTAGTTATAAGTCATTTAGATGAGGAGATTTAACATTCCTGTTTCAAACTCTAAGCAATTCAGACAACATCAAATCTGAGCTTGTGTACCAGTTCCACCACTTACAATCTGCATGCCCTTGTCACCTAACATTTCCCAGCCTCAAATTCAGCAAATGTAAATGTTGTAGATAATAATAGAATCAATATCACAGGATTATAAGGACTAGAAAAGATAATGCATGTAAATTGCTTAGCACAATGTCAATGTTTAATATTTACTATTATTTAAATGTCTGTTCCATTTTATACCTTATTCTCAGTGTTCCCTTAACATTTAACATTATTAAATCAGTTATTTTCCTATATAATCAACATTGCCTTCAAGCATCCAACATAAAGTAAAATATCAAAAATGAATTATTCCAAGCTTTTTTACTTAGTCCCAAAATTAATCACCTTCAGCTACTTAGTATATTATATGCATCATAGATTAATGACATTTTTTAAGCTAATGTCTAGAACAGCCAGAGACTCTAAATAATGATTTATTTATTTATTTATTGCTTTATTTTTACTTAAACTCTAACAAAATAGTATTTGTATAATACTATTCTTCTGCTATATTTATGGTGTGCGTGTGTGTGTGTATGTGTGCATGGTCTGTTTTCCAGTCTGTCCTAAGTGGGTAAAACTTCGGAAAAACCACAAAGAGAAAAAATCGGTTCTGATGCTGATTATCTGCAGCTCTGCCATCCGAGCCCTGGAGCTCATTAGGTAAGAGGCTTTGCCTGTTCTATTTTGTAAATGTTTTCTGAGTAACTGATACATGCCTAACTGATATGTTCTATGTGCTTGAGATGTGTCAATGAACAAAGCAGACAGATTCCCCTACCCTCATGGAGCTTACTTTCCAGTTGAGAGACAGACAAAAAGCAAGTAAATATGTATCATAGTGTCAGGTAGTGATAAGTTATATAAAGAAAAAAAAAATGAAGTATGGCAAATAAATAGAAGGGGGTGAGCTATTTTAAAAAAGAATGATCGTGGAAAGCTTCTCTAAGAAGATGACATTTGAACAGAGACTTGAACAAAGTAAAGGAAATAGACAAACAGATATCTGGCAGAGGACAGTGAGTGCACAAGGCCTTGAAATGGTACGCCATTGGAGGACTTTGAGCAGAGCAGTCGCATGATTAAAAAATTATTTGAAAGGATCACTTTGGCTGCTTATGTGAAGAACTCACCATGGGAGGCAAAGGTAAAAGCAGGGGATCATATCATCAACAACCAGTTGGAATGAAAAAATAAATGTTTTCTGAGTAACTGATATGTGCCTAACTGATATGATCTAATTTAAAATAGTAACAAGAAAGGATAAAATACCAAGAAATAAACAAAATTTATATAAAGAAAACATCACATGAGAGACATAGAAAATCTTGAACAAACAAAAAGGCATACCATACTCTTGAATAGGAAGACTCAACATTGTGAAGATGTCAATTTTCTGTAGAACAATCTAAAAATATCACAGGTCCCAGTAAAATTCCAGTAGAACTGTTTTTCAAACTAGGTAAACTAGTTTTAAATTCATATGGAAGAATACATCAGGGAAAATTTGGAAAAGAATACTAATAAAAAGATAGTAACCCTGTTAGATTACTAAAAACATTGTGAAGTCTTAATACTTAGAATAGTGTAGAACTGGCACATGCATGACAGCGAAATGGAAGTAAAAGTTCAGAAGTAGATATACGTGTATATGAAAATGTTACAAATCACTAAGGAGAAATGGATCATTTAATAAATGGTGTTGGACCAACTGCATGGCCATTTGGAAAAATTAAGTTGGATCCATATCTCACTTCTTAAACAAAAATAAATTCCAGAGAGACCAAAGACTTAAATGTAAAAATTATATTTTAATGATAATTTGGCAGTGCTTTCCAAGTGTTTTCACATACCTTTAATTTACTGCAGTTTTTGTAGAATAAACAAGAAGGCCCCTCCCTGGGTCTGTGGTAACATTCAGGTTTCAGAGAAGAAGAGCCATCAGAGGACAGGATTGACTGGGGCCAGCCCTCTCAAGTACGAGGCTCTGGACCAGGCTGCCACAGAAAGAATAAATAATAAAGGAAAAGCCAAGCCATGAAATATAGGGAATGTGATCCAGTAGACTAAGGTGGAAATGTAGTGCTTCAGTACTTAACATCTATTTTTCTAAATGAAAATCAAATCACAAATTTACCAAAGTAGTTGTTAAGCTTTATTAATAGTGCTTCCAAGCCTCGTTTCCCCACCTAGGTACATGCATTAAATTATATCACACACTCTATCAGTAAAATAAGTCTTTCTTTCAACTACTTCTGTTCCAACTATAACTGATCTTTAAGATTCCAAATGCTTCTGGTCCTGAAATCAGAGTTCACACTGACTTGTCGTGCTTTAAAAAGTACCACCACAGAACTCATTTCAGATTCAAGCATTAATGGCAAAGAGGCTGTCCTGGAGGCAGCATCTTAAAAACAAGTTGTCAAATTGATTTCAGTTTTTAGTGTATATAAATTACTTTTTGAGGGGCATAAAAGCACCATGTTGCCACGCTTCGTTTACTACTTTCCAGAATTCTTCTGTGATTCCAGTAATACTGTGATATATTTCAAGGTCAGGTGATTTGCAAAAGGGGATTTTGAAGCAGGCATAATGAGCCTTATTCATAAATACCAATGTTGAATAACTCTGACTCTTATAAGAACATTTGTTCTCCTGAGATCTATGAATTACACGAAATATGTCCCCTATATTATCTTTCCAATTAACTTTGCTGTAGAGAAAGCTTATTTGTAAGTAAAAACTCAAGTACAATAAAACTTGTATAGCACAATGCACTATTTTGCAAACTCATATATTGCTAAATCCCAGACCAAAACCAAGCCCACTGCCACTGAGTCAATTCCAAGTCATAGTGACCCTATAGGACAGAGTAGAACTGCTCCATACAGTTTCCAAGGCTATAAATCTTTACAGAAGGAGACTGCCTCATCTTTCTCCCACATGGTGGCTGGTAGGTTCAAACCACTGACCTTTGGGTAGCACCCAAATACCTTAATCACTGCACCACCAGAGCTCCTAATCATATATTCCTACTGATCAATAATATTGCTCAAAATATAATAATAACGTATAAAGGAAAATAGTATTCCCAAGCAATATTGTTTTTTTTTTTTAATTTAAATTTTTGTTATGATTTGGGTGAAAGTTTACAAAACAGATTCACTTTCCATACAGTAGCTCACATACACTTTGTCTCATGACATTGACTGCAATTTCCCACAATGCAACAGCTCCCCTTACATTTCCTCCCGATAGTTACTTCCTGTCTGTGTCCATCCCTCCATGCACCCCTGCCCCCTGAGCTGTCTCCCTGTGCATAAACAGCCCTTCTTTCTTCCATGACTGATCTCTCCAAGGAGTGCATCTACCTAATGTAAATGTTCAGCTCATATGTCTGTCTTTTGTTTGGCTGGAAAGCACAAGAGTGGGTTCAATTTCATACCTGAAGGGCAGCTAGGGGCCATAGTCTCAGGGGTTCCACCAGGCTCTATCAGACCAGCAAACCTGGTCCCCACCACCACCTTTTTTTTTTGTTAATGACTTTGAGTTTTGTTCCACTTTGTTCTCCCACTCTATCCAGGATCTCCTACACAGATTCCCCCTCCGAGGGGTTGACAGTAGTAGCTGGACACCATCTAGTTCTTCTGATTTCATAGTCATATAGGCTAAGGGTCACATAGTGTACCAATCATTTGGACTGATTCTTTCCATGAATCTTTGGTTTTCTTCATTCTTCTTTGTTCTGGACGAGAAGAGACATATCATTGTATCAAGATGGCCACTTGGAAGCATTTAAGATTCCAGTTACTACTCACCAAATTAGGATGTGGAACAATGCTTTTGTGTAGTATGTTATGCTAATTGGCCTTGATGTCCCCTGCAACTATGGTCCTGAGCCTACAGGTCCAACTACTCACTCCCCCTGGGTAGCTGGCTGTGGCCAACCTTGTCCCTTGTCAGTTCTACTATATACCCCAAGCAATATTCTTCTGTTAGGTCTGTCCCCAGACATTTAAAAAGATATTATTTGTTTGTTCATTTATACTTATTTCATGTCAAAACATTGTTAAGGTGATATATAGAAGTACACACAACAAGTATTAAAAAGGTGGTAAAAATGGAAGCAAAGAAAAAATAAAGATTAGAAAATCAGGTAGACCTAGCTAGAATCAATGGTCAAGATCACTTCCATTGGCTGCTAACCAAAAGGTCAATGGTTCAAACCCACCAGCTACTCTGCAGAAGGAAGATGGGGCAATATAGTTCCATAAAGATTTACAGCCTTGGAAACAACCCAATGGAGGTTGCTATGAGTTGGAATCAACTTGATGGCAGTGAGTTTGGGTTTTTTTGTTTTGTTTTGTTTTGTTTTACTTCCAGCAGCCAGGACAAGATGGGAAGCATCATCAGTTGCCAGATTTGTGATATTCCCTGGGATTTAAAAAGGTTCCCCTGAGAAGCATAGTTTTTCTTTCTATGACATACAGGTGGCAGTATCCTCAAGATCACCCCTACAATAAAATGATAGACAGTTGATATGACATGTCTACTTGCAGAATTTCCTTCAGTGCAGGATGAGGGCCTGCTGCCAAAGCTGAGTTAGTAAAGGCAGTCATGTAAGGCACCAATGAGGGTGATCTTGACCCACAAGGATGACATTCTGGATTGATCTAAATAGATCCAGATTTTTTAATATCTAGAAATTGAATGAAATGCCAATCCTGTAGGCCAGAGACTGTAAATCAACAGCCCAAGGGCTAAATTCACCTAAATATTTTGTATCTGAAACATTTGAATAAGTTGTTCATAAAGTAAGATTTTACATATAAAAGTCTAGATTTGGGGCTTCTCTAAAAATCAAGTCTTGTAACACTGTCCATAATCTCACATCATAATAACTGGCTAAACTGGATACACACACACTCTCTAGTTCTCCTCAATCTGCACCCCTTCCTTCTGTCATTGCTGTTATGCGCCATTGAGTCAGTCCGCACTCATAGCGACCCTTCCTTGGGTTTCCAAGGCAGTAACGCTGCAGAAGTATATTGCCCAACCTTCCTTCTGAGGAGTGGCTGGTGGGTTTGAACCACCAGCCTTCTGGTTAGCAGCCAAATGCCTTAGGCACTATGCTACCAGAGCTCATCCCTTCCTCCTAGATTGTCTCATTTATTTATGCTACCCACTTACTTGGATATCTCTGATTTGGTCACTCCTTCATGACAATAGGAACCCTGGTGGTATCGCAGTTAAAACATTTGGCTGCTAACCAAAAGGTCAGCAGTTTGAACCTAGTAGCCATTCTGCAGGAGACAGACAGATATGACATTCTGCTTCCATGAAGAATTACAGCCTTGGAAACCCTACAGGACAGTTCTACTCTGTCTTATAGGGTTTCTATGAGTTGGAATCAACTCAATGGCAGTGGGTAGTGGATTATGACAATAGTTTTCTTTCCTTCTTTCCTCCTTTCTTATTTCCTTCCTACCTTCTTTCTTTCTTTTTTGGCAGAAGCTTTCTATATGTAAAATTTTACAGAGAAGCACTCTGCAAAATAGATCAAAATGAGGCTGCTCTGACTGAAGAAGAGTATACGCCTTCCCTCTCCTCCCTGTCAGCTCACTCTCCAGCACCCCTCCCATCAGCCACAGACAACCTTGATAGATACCTTTGGTCTCCAGAGAGCTCAGGGCTGCCATCACTGCTCTAAGATATCTCTTGGAACCAAATACTTCATGAGAACTACACTGCAGAGTTTGAAGATTAGTCTAGGCCAGGGACCCGAGATAAAAAATTTCTGTATTACAAGTGAAGGGCAAACGCATATGTTTTGATAATCAAGGAAGTTAACCTTGAGTATGAAAGTTAACACCCAACACATTATTTGTCTGAATAAAGGCTGCCTCGCTTTTATTCCAGAGATGGGCTAACCTGAAAATCTCAAAATTTGTGTGTATGCACACAAGTATATGAACACAAACATATGCACATATATATACGCATTCTTTTGAATAAAGCAAGACATAATACTTAAGTAGTCAGCCTGCTAGAAATGAGTATGCTTTCTCATGCATTTACCTTTTCCTTTTCATTAGGTCAATGACAGCATTCAAAGGAGACAGCAAAGTTATGAAATTATTTGCAAAACACATAAAGGTAAGCAGAAGCCTGTTGTTTCTCATGGGGTGCTGGGAGAACTGTAGTGATCTTTTGTGGCCACTCCCAGACCCTGGCTTTTTTTCTTTCCCTCTTCTCCTTATTCCTGTAGCAAGGAATTTCTTTGGTGCCTTCCTTGTATAGCATATTTAACAATCATCCGGTTTTCTTTGAATTTCCCAGCCTACACATATTCATTTCTCCCCACAGCAGCCCTCCATCCCTAAGATTTCTGTTAGGAGCTGAGCTTTGACTCATGAATTCTTATAAAATTTTGACTGGTTTCCTAGGGAGATAGGCTTCTATCTCAATGTTAAACTTCTTTGCCCTGGGTGTTGACCCTAAACAAGCCCCATTTGCTTTTTATTTTTTTAACTTTGAGATAAAATGCTCTAAATTGGCCTATGATTGCACTTTCTAATGATTATTCCTTTCCTTCTTTCTCTTCCATCTTCATTTAGATCCAGGAGCAGATTAAGTTGCTGGAGAAGCGTGTGGTGCATCTGGGTGTAGGAACTCCAGGGAGGATTAAAGAACTTGTTAAACAAGGTATGAAAAGAGGCAATGAGACTCCTACCCAGAGCTGGGAGTTTGCCTTACCCCCATTAGAGTTTGAGGAAACTGCATTTGTGATGAATGAAACCAGACTTCTGAGTTAATTCAGGAGTTGGAAACTCAGCCTTTAGGTTGTAAAGTCAACCAGCAGGAATAACAAGGACTAAGGCAAACTGAAGTACATATGCCTACCTGAGGACATTCAAATGCCAATAGCTTTAAGCAGGTCAATGGATCCACACACAGACTTCATTCTTCCAATTTGCAACCTCTCAATTTTGTATAGTTGTGTGTGATCAGCATTTCCCACTTGCTTCATTGAATCTTGGTTCCCCAAGACTCTCTTTCTGGTTGAGGGTTTGTATATAAAACATTCTGGAGCAAAAATGCAATTCATATAAATGAAATGTAGGTATTTGGGAGTATTCCTCCAAAATGCATTTCCCTTTTAATGCTTTTACCCAGAAGGTATTCCAGACAACATCCACCAGTGATTTTTATAGCTTAATTGACTTATTCAAAGCCAGTAGCCTAGAAACCTGCTAATCTGCTCATAATCTTATTACCTGTTCTACCTGCCAGCAGATTTAAAGATTTCATTTTCAATACTCATTTCCAAATAACTTAATAAATACTCTAGTAAAACTCATATAACTGTCTCGAGTTATTCCTGGATTTTTTTTATATATCTGGAACTAATATGTTAATCAATATAGCAAATCAGTATATGCACATGGTCACTTGACGGGAAACAGAGTAAAGCTAAAAACATGGATGTTGCTCTCCAGATTAAAATCATCCAGAATTAATTGAATCCACTATATGCAGAGGCCACCACTTGTCTGTCAGTTTGTCATACTGTGGTGGCTTGTGTGTAGCTGTGAGACTGGAGGTATTTCAAATATCAGCAGGGTCACCTATAGTAGACAGGTTTCAGCAGAGCTTCCAGAGGAAGACAGACAGGGAAAAAATATGGGGCCATCCATTTCTGGAAAAACTGGCCAATGAGAACCTTATGAATAGCAGTGAAACACTGTCTGAAAGCTTTATGAAGAGCTGTGAAACATTGTCTGACATAATGCCCAAAGATGAGCCACTCAGGTAGGAAAGCACTCAAAATACTACTGGGGAAGAGCTGCCTCCCCAAAGTAATGTCAAGCTTAATGACATGGATGGAGTAAAACTTTAGGGACCTTCATTTGTTAATGGGGCATGACTCAAAATGGGAAGAAACAGCTGCAAACATCCATTAATAATTGGAATGTGGAATATACGAAGTTTGAATCTAAGAAAATTGGAAATTGTCAGAAATGAAATGGAATGCATAAAGATCAATATCCTAGGCTTTAGTGAGCTAAAACGGACTGCTATTGGCCATTATGAATCAGACAATCATATGATCTGCTATGACGGGAATGACAAATTGAAGAGAGATGATATTGCATTCATTGTCAAAAAGAACATCTCAAAATATATATGGAAGTGCAGTGCTCTCAGTGATAAAATAATATGCCTACAAGAAAGATCAGTTAATACTACTGTTATTCAAATTTATGTACCAACCACCAAAGCCAAAGATGAAGAAATTAAAAATTTTTACCAACTTCTGCAGTCTGAAATTTACCAAACATGTGATCAAAATGTATTAATGATTATTTGTGATTGGAATGCTAAAGTTGGAAACAAAGAGGAATCATCAGTAGTTGAAAACTATGGCCTTGGTGATAGAAATAATGCTGGAGACCACATGGTAGAATTTTGGAAGACTAATAAATTATTAATTGCAAATACCTTTTTTTCAACAACAAAATGGAGGCTGTACATGTGTACCTCACCAGATGGAATACACAGAAATCAGATTGACCACATTGGTGGAAAGAAGCAATAAAGAAGCTCAGTATCATCATTCAAAATAAGACCAGGCATTGACTGTGAAACAGACCATCAATTGCTCATATGCAAGTTCAAGTTAAAGCTGAAGACAATTAAAACAAGTCCACATGAGCCAAAATATGACCTTGATTATATCGTACCTGAATTTAGAGACCATCTCAAGAATAGATTTGATTCATTGAACACCAATGACTAGACGAGTCATGGGATGACATCAAAAGCACAATACGTGAAGGAAGTAAACAGTCATTAAGAAGGCAGGAAAGGAAGAAAAGACAAAAATGGATGTCAAAAGAGACTCTGAAACTTGCTCTTGAATGGAGAATAGCTAAAGTGAATGAAAGAAATGCTGAAATAAAACAACTGAACAGAAGATTTCAAAGTGTGGCTCAAAAAGACAAAGACATTATAATGAAATGTGCAAAGAACTGGAGTTAGAAAACCAACAGGGAAGAACACACTCAGCATTTCTCAAGCTGAAAGAATTGAAGAATTCAAGCCTTGAGTTACAATATTGAAGGATTCCATGGGCACAAAAAAGAATTTGTTGATATTCAGCTATTTCAAGAGCTAGCATGTGATCAAGAAACAATGGTATTGAAAGAAGAAGTCCAAGCTGCACTGAAAGAATTGGAGAAAAACAAAGCTCCAGGAATTGACAGAATACCCATTGAGATGTTTGAATAAATGGATGCCATGCTGGAGGTGCTTATTTATGCCAACAAATTTGGAAGACAGCTACCTGGCCAATTGACTGGAAAAGATGGCTATTTGTGCCCATTCCAAAGAAAGGTGATCCAACAGAATGTGGAAATTTTCCAACAATATCATTAATATCATAGACAATTAAAATCTTGCTGAAAGTATTCAAAAATGGTTGCAGCAGTAAATTGACAGGGAACTTCCAGAAATGCCAGCTGGATTCAGAAAAGGTTGTGGAATGAGGGATATTACTGCTGATGTCAGATGGATCTTGGCTTAAAGCAGAGAATACCAGAAAGATGTCTACCTGTGTTTCATTGACTACACAAAGATATTTGACTGTGTGGATCTTAACAAATCATGGATCACGTTGCAAAGAATGGTAATTCCAAAATACTTAATTGTGCTCATGAGGAGCCTGTACATAGACCAAGAGGCTGTCATTCAAACAGAACAAGGGGATACTGCATGGTTTCAAATCAGGAAGGGTGCATGTCAGGGTTGTACACCATACTTATTCAATCTGTATGCTTTCACCATTCTTATTCAATCTGCATGCTGAGAAAATAATCCAAGAAGCTGGACTGTATGAAGAATAACATGCTACCATTAACAACCCACCAGCCACTCCTTGGAAGGAAGATGAGGCAATCTACTTCCATAGTGATACTGCCTCAGAAACCCAAGGAGGGGTCACTATGAGTCGGGTCCAACTCGACGGCACATAACAACAACAACAACATTAACAACCTGCAATATGCAAATGACAGAACCGCTTGCTGAAAGGAAAGATGACTTGAAGATTTTGCTGATGAAGATCAAAGTCTACAATGTTCAGTATGGATTACACCTCAACATAAAGAAAATAAAAATCCTCACAACTGGACCAATAAGCAACATCATGATAAATAGAGAAAAGATTGAAGAGGTCAGGGATTTCATTTTACTCTGATCCACAGTCAACACCCATGAAAGCAGCAGTAGGAAATTAGATGTCGTATTGCACTGGGAAAATCTGCTACAAAAGACCTCTTTAAAGTGTTAGGAAGCAAAGATGTCACTTTGAAGACCAAGGTGCACCTAATCCAAGCTATGGTATTTTCAGTCGCCTCATATGCATGTGAAAGCTGCACAATGAATAAGGAAGACCAAAGAAGAGTCGATACCTTTGAATTATGATGTTGCTGAAGAATATTGAAAATACCATGGACTGCCAGAAGAACAAACAAATCTCTCCTGAAAGAAGTGAAACTAGAGTGTTCCATGGAAACAAAAATGGCCAGACTTCATCTCACCTACGTTGATCACATTGTTAGAAGAGACCAATAAGGGGAGAAAGATATCACGCTTGGTAAAGTAGAGGGTCAGCGAAGAAGGGAAAGGTCTTCTACAGGATGGATTGATACAGTGGCTGCAACAATGGGCTCAAGCATGGCAAGGATTGTGAGGATGGTGCATAAACCGGGGGGGGGTGGGGGTGGGATAATGTTTCATTGTGTCGTACATAGTGTCACTATGAGTCGGAGCCAACTAGATAGCACCTAACAACAACAACAACATATGCAGAGGAGCCCTGGGGGCACAAACTTCATGCAAATGCAATGAAGTAGACTTGACCCCATACAAGGAAAAGAAACAAAAAATGTTTGAGTTCCTACCTGTACTGAGTGCTGTGGTAGACATCTTTACATATGTTATTTCCTTTAGAACCCACAGCACCCCTGCAGGCTGACATGAAAAGAAATGGAAATTCAGAGAGAAAAATGACTCCTCCCGGCTCTCTCAGGCCAAACCTTCCTGATTCTAGAAGCTTTTCCCTCAATGAGCTCCTGAACCACTTGACATAAAAGGAGAGAGGCAACATGAGGCAGGAAGTTCTGAGAGTCGAATAAGTACTCTGACTATAAAATATATTGTTTTTGTTGTTGTTGTTAATTGTCATTGAGCTGATGCCATCTCATAGCAGTCCCTCATGTCAGAGTAGAACTGCTCCAAAGAGTTTTCAAGGTTTTGACTTTTCAGCAGCAGATTGCCAGACCTCTCTTCTGAAGTCCCTCTGGGTAGGTTCAAACCAACAACCTTTAGGTCAGTAGTCGTTTACACTACCCAGGGCTCCTTATAAACCTCCAGAAAAAAAAAAAACCCACCAAACTCATTGCCATCAGGTTGATTCTGACTCATAGTGACCCCATTGGGTTTCCAAAGCTAAAAATCTTTAAGAAAGCAGACAGCCTCATCTTTCTTCCACAGAGCTGCTGGTGGGTTTGAACCACCAATCTTCTGGTTAGGAGCCAAATGCCTTTACCACTACACCACCAGAGTTTGTTTCTTTCTTTTTTTTTTTTTTTAAATAAAATCTAAAGGAGTGAAAATGAGAGACAGGTTTTTATGGTGGCTGGAATCTGAAGGGGTGACCTTCACAGAGGAAAAAGATCTTTAATTGATCTTTGATATTTGGGGAGTGTTCTGGTTACCTAGTGCCACTCTGACAGGAATATACCACAAATGGGATGGCCTTAACAAACAGGAATTTATTCTCTTGCAGTTTGGAGGCTTTAAGTCCAAGTTCAAAGTGCTAGGCTCTAGGGGCTGGGTGAAAACCCCTTGACCTTGGGCTTCAGCTCTGCCTCCTGCTCCTGGCCCACTGGACCTAGAGGCTTTTCATCACTCAGGCAGCTACTGGCTTCTAAGGCTAACAAGCCCAAGGTCGGTTAATAAAAAAGGCACAGTCCCGATGTTACCAAACAACACGGCAGGCCATTAATTTAAGTCCGTTGAAAGTCCCAAGGTTGGCAGAGAATGGCAGGCTGCTGACAGTGACTCAGCTACATGCAGGGTTCAAGCATACCATAAGCTAGTGACCAGTCCCAAAGCTGTTTCTTATATACGGGAAGCAGACCACATCCCTAAAGCAGCTACTCAGCTGCTCCAATAGATTCCACCATGGAGTTAATTACCAATTTCTCCATGGGGAATAACTACATTCAGCTGTCCAGGCACTCAACCAGGCCCAGCCATGTTGACACACAAACTTAACCACCACAGGGAGGATTAAAATAGGCCAGGAGATATGAGGAAAGCTTTCAAGAATAGGAGTACCACCCAATCAGAAAGGGGCAAACAGAAACACGTGGTTTATTGATACTAGACGATGAATAGACATGATGTTGAGGTTAGGAACCCCTTTTATGGCTTCTAACTTCTAGATTCAAATCCTCGATTTAGCAGCTCACCAGCTGTGTGACCTTGGCAAGTTACTTAAACTTTTTAAGCCTGTTTCTTTATCTGAAAAACAGGGATAATAATAATACCTGGCTCACAAGATTGTTGTAAAAATAAAATGCCAATAAAGAGCTCATTACAATGAATGGTACACACTAAGCACTCAGTAAATGCTAGGTATTATTTTTATTAAAGAGATCAGCTTTCTGGCTTGGAAATTCTATGGGCTGTAGTAGCAGGTGATTCAATAGGAAAGTAAGTCAGGCTGTGCGGGAAGGAGGACTTTGAATACTAAGCCGAGGTTTCAGTTATGTTCCATGGACTAGGAGGGCATTGAAAATTCAGTAACAGTTAATAGGCATCATCATCCTTCTACGAGACATGGAATTAGGAGAACAGGTGCTGGGAGAGGCCAGGGATGGACTCTGAGCTTGGTCCTGCCTCCCCCACAGTTCTTAGTTAAAAAATTCACCTCTGCCTCTCCTGAAATCCAAATGTTTTTTGTGTCTTCAGACCCTGCTGCCACAATGCCATTCTTATCTTTATTTAAAAGAGAACAAGGGAAAGAGAAAATGAAACTGTCTAGAATATTGAAATTAGATTTCTATAGAGTTATGAGAACTCAGGGAGCTCTGGTTGCATAGTGCCTGAGACATTTGACTGCTAACCAGAAAGCTGGTGGTTCAAACCCACCAGCCACTCCTCGGAAGGAAGATGGGGCAATCTATTTCCATAGTGATACCACCTCGGAAACCCAAGGAGGGGTCACTGTGAGTCAGATGCGACTCGATGGCAATGAGGTTTTTTTTTTTTGTTATGAGAACTCAATGTGAAGGTTTATTTCATGTAGGAAAATCACTTAAAGAGTTGTTGGTTGCTGATTAAGTATGTCTATGCACAGGAGAGTGTGCTCATGACCATGTATAGGGTTGGCAGACAATGTTTGCACAAGTATATTTGTCTGTTCTGTAAGAATTCCCAGGTATATAGTAGAGCTGACAAGGAACAAGCTTGTAGTCACTTCTTGATCACAGCCAGCTACCCAGAGGGAGCAAGTAGTTGAACCTGTGAGCTCAGGACCATTGTTGCAGGGGACATCAAGCTCAATTGGCATAGCATACTACACAAAAACATTTGGCAAATAGTGACTGAGATCTTAAGAGCTTACAAGTGGCCATCTAGATGCAGCAATGGGTCTCTCCTCATCCAGAGCAAAGAAGAATGAAGAAAACCAAAGATGCCTGGAAACAATTAGTCCAAGGGACTGTTACACCATGTGATCCTCAGCCTATATGACTTTGAGACCAGAAGAACTAGAGAACTAGATGGTGCCCAGCTACCACTGTCAACCACTTAGAGGGGATCTTTGTAGGAGATCCTGGATAGAGTGGGAGAACAATGTGGAACAAAACTCAAAATCATTAAAAAAAAAAAAAAAAGGGAGGGGGGGAACCAGGTTTGCTGGTCTGATAGAGCCTGGTGGAACCCCTGAGACTATGGCCCCTAGCTGCCCTTCAGGTCTGGAATTGAACCCACTCCTATGGCTTCCAGCCAAACAAAAGACAGGCATATGAACTGAACATTTACATTAGATAAATACACTCCTTGGAGAGATCAATCATGGGAGAATAGAAGAGCTGTGTATGCACAGGGAGACAGCTCGGGGGGCAGGAGTGCATGGGAGGGAAGGACACTGGGAAGAGGTGGTTATGGGGAGTAAGTGGGACGAGAGCTGTTGCGTGGTGGGAGATTACAGTCAATGTCATGAGATAAAGTATATGTGAGCTGCTATATGGAAGATGAATTTGTTCTGTAAACTTTCACCCAAATTACAATAAAATTTTTTTAAAAAAGTTGTTGATTGTTTATGAAAACTGGTTAAAATAACTTTTACTTTCTGATTCAGATTGGATGGATGGTTTAAAATTCATTAACCACAAGTATCACAGGTGTTAGACTACATACAAAGAGAAAAGTCCCAGCAGTCTAAAAACTGAAATGCTAACAAGTGGGGAGTGACAGCACATAACTCATTTTATGTAGTTGTTTATACTTAACAAGATGTTTATATATTTGATATAGGCCAATGAAGGAGAATTTAAAGATATGCAAAGATATCTGCAACACTTGAGACCTGTACAATTATAGGCAGAATTGTGTTGTTTTAATGTAGAAATGAAGGTATTCTCTGACTATAAGAGCCTTTGAAAAAATGCAAAAAATGTACAGAGAAGAAAATAAAAATAACTTTTTTAAAAAAATTTTTTATTGTGATTTGGGAGAAAACTTACAGAGCAAACCAGTTTTCCATTCAACAATTCATACACATTATTTTCATGACATGATTACCATCCTCACAATGTAATCACATTCTTACTGCTTCCGCACTGTGTTTACTGATTTCATTTGTCCTTCTTTTGTATCCCTTCCTGCGTTCTGAGCTTTATGCCTGGGCAAATGTAGGTTGCCCTTTTGATCTAGTATTGTTGATTGTTGTAAGGAGTGTTATTAAAAAGGTATTTCCTTTCAGTCTTTTTTTCTATGCAGTTTTATAAAGCAGAAATTATACTGCATGTTATAACTTTATAGCCTATGTTTTTTTTTACTTAGTATATCTCATGAGAATGCTTGTAGCCATGAAATATTTTAATTTTTCCTTTGTAAAGTTTGTTGTTCATAATAATTCTATTATAGTAGGATATTCAGATTACTTCAATTTTTGCTATTATGAATGATCATCTTTGCATCTGATGTTTTATTGAGATATATCATAGAAGGAAAATTATTTTATCAAATAATAATTAATTTCAAGCTGTTTTTATATTGACTTATTTGTCTTCCAAAAAGCTATAACCATTTGCTCTCACTGGCAGTATATTACTTTTAAGGGAAGGCTCTCAAACCATTGAGGCTCTCAAACCTCAATTTATCATTTTTATTTTAATTTTGAAGATAGCATTTAAAATAAGAGATATTGTAATTGGTAAAAAGTGTGAAAATGTATTTTGAGCAGAGAGGAAAATATTTAAATAACCATAGAGAAAAGTGGAGGAGAATTTCTGCAGCATAAAGGAAGACTTTTGATATCATTCCCATTCATGTCATTGTGTGCTCAGGGCAGGGGGAGGAATATGGGAATGGGAAACCTTGAGTCTTCTGAGGACTAGATAATCTATGAGGACCCCTCCAGCCCACACGTTGCACAATTATTTGTCTTCTAGATAAATGGGAAAACAGAGTCCTTAATTGATTAACTAATCTGATCAACAATTGCTGACTTTGAATAGTGCCCATTCATCCTTACTTCCTTTTCTACCTAAAATTAGCCACTCAACCCTGCCTTCATCCTTCTGCCCACTCACCTGCTCAGGGTCATGCAGGATGGTGGCCCTGCAGAGGAGTTATGCACTCCTCTCCTTCAAAGAACCACCACCCCAGGCTGCAGGATACATCTTATCAAATCATTGTCAAGAACAAGACTTCACCCTCTGGGGCTTCATGAAATAGAGGCTGGGGATTGATTCTTTGCCAGCACATGAGCGTGTGACAAGCCTAAAGAGACAGTTTCTCTACTTTCCTCAAAATCACTGATAAGATTATGAAGAGAGCAAGTCTCTGAGCGCTGCATTTGTTTTCCATCAGGCAAGAGCAGAGCTTCACAGGCAGAGATTAGTTGCCACAGGAGAGAACAGCAAGTGAAGCAAAAAGCAACCAGGAGACTAGAAAATCATTTTAATAAGCTTATGTCATGAGGTCTTTCTTGCAGCACTTCTCTCCCTGTCTCTTTCAGGTGGCCTTAACTTGAACTCCTTAAAGTTTCTGGTTTTTGACTGGAACTGGAGAGATCAGAAATTGAGGAGACTGATGGACATTCCCGAGGTACCGTGTAACCAGCAATTGACTTTAATCTTTTTTTTTTTTTCCATTTGAACTCAAGTTCAAATGTAGTAATAAAGTCTTTGACATGGGGAGCCAGCACATTCTGGCTTTTGAAATGATTTCTGTCTAAACTTTGAGGTAACTGCAATTATGGATCTACCTCAACCCTTTACACATAACTCTGTATTTTTTCCACGTGTTTTATAGGACTTGGCTTTGTTTCTTTATGAAATGTCCAGTGGCCTCTGCCTCACTACAGACCACATCTATACTTACCTTTGAGAAGCAGGAAGATCTGAAGGGCCTGGCTCATTTCCCTGTGTCTTTACAGACACAATCCTCTTTGCCTTTCATCCTTACTTGTGCATTCTCTGGGAGGGCATAAACACCTCATTAATGGCCCACATCGCCACATACCCCAAAACCTCCTTACTTAATTTAGAAGGCTATTTATTGCTGTCTCAATGAATTAAAATTGAATGACTGAATGCCTCAGTGGATACACTATTAGCTCATCTTATACATATGAGAGCAATCCATTATCATCATAATGTTAAAAATTGATTTGCACTACTGTATTATCATAGAGCTAATTTTCCTGTTTAGCAGTTAGGGAGAAAAGGGTTTACAAAGTAATAAACATGGCTGTTTGTCACCAACCTGGAATAAATAATGGCAGTAATTATCAAAGAAGTTTGGAAATATGCCTTGGAAACATGCTGGAAGAATTAATTTGCTATATAAAACTAGATATCCTGAGGATGACTAAACCTAATTATAAGTGATCAGGGAGGTCTATGAGACATCAGTTCAAGTTAAAAGACAATTTTGCTTAGTTCTTTACACACATACATACACCTTATACCCTTAATTGACTGGGTTTTAAAACTGGTTTAACCAATTTGATGTTAGGTAGATGAGGCTATACTTGTTGGTTTCAGTTACATCGTTAAACCTGAGTAATCCACCATTATTTTTCTAATTAAAGTAATAGGTAGAAACAGCCCCCCCAAAATCCCATTTGTTGCCCATAGTTATTTTTATTATGTTGATATCATTATTAGCAATCATTAAAAAGCAATAAAATACTACATTGAAATATTATATATAATTTGGGTTATAGAAAGCCCATTTTAGGTATCTTGAAAACACTTCTGTAGGGGATTTTATTTTATTTTATTTTAATGACTGCAAACAAAAGGGCACTTTAATGAAACAGATGTTTTATATAATACCTCTAACTTTACTTATGTAAATCTTTTACCTCTGAATCATATGTAGTTTAGAACTTTTGCCCTCCTTGATTCTGTCTATAATATCTGCATAAATAGTGAGGCATTTAGAGTATTGGATTTATTTGCCAAGACCATTTTTTCTTGATATTAACCTTTTTTTTTTTTTTTTTTTTCTAATTTGCTTTTCTCATTTAGATAAGAAAGGAGGTTTTTGAACTTCTGGAGATGGGAGTATTCAGTCTGTGCAAATCTGAATCTTTGAAGCTGGGCCTTTTCTAAGTCTGGGTCCAAATGAAGATCCCAAATTTAATGGTGTCATTTATATTTCTATTTACTGACCCTGGCACATTGCGTGAGCTCAGTAAATACCGACTATTGTTTTATTAGCTACATCACCAGATGGATCACTGGGAATGTTTGACTTTGAGGATTCTTTCACTGAAATCAACCCTTCTTTTTACCAACACCATCCCTGGCATAATAAAGTATCATTGGTTTGCATGTAATTTTTTTGAGCAGACTAAGTTTTTCTCACACTGACTGGCCTCTGGTATGATTATGCGGGAGAGTGGAAAGAGCAGTGGGAAGACCATAGGCAAGCTTACTCTGAGCTTCAGTTTGATCTCTCATGGGATTGTTAAGGAGTCCATGAAATGATATGTGTGGAACTGCTTTGTAAACTGTGACACATGGTCCTGGTGTGAAAGGCAGCAGTGGTAGTGGTATAAAAAACTACAAGAGTATCTAGTATTTTGTAAATACGTAAAAGACAACTACATAACCATAGTTCACTTACTCATTTGCTTTTATTTTTTTAACTTAATTTTGAAATAATTTTAGACTTGCAGAAAAGTTGCAAGAATAGTACAAAAAAATACCCATACACCCTTTACCTAGCTGCTCCCAATGTTAATATCTTACTTAACCATAGTACAGCTAGCAAAACTAAGATCAACATTGGTTCAATGTGATTAACTGAATTATAGACTTTATTTATATTTCACCTATTTTTCCACTCATGTCCTTTTCTATTCAGGTTCCAATCCAGGATACCACATTGCATTTAGTCGTCACACTTCCTTGTTTTTCTTAAATCAGCCCCAATTCTTCAGTCTTTCATGACCTCAACACTTTTGAAGGGTATTTTGCAGAAAGTCCCTCAACTTGGGTTTGTCGATTGTTTTCTCATAACAGACAGTGGATATGCATATTTGGCCAGAATACCACAGAAGTCATATGTCCCTCTTGAAGCACCATGTCAGGGGGTAAAAAATTAATGTTATGTCTTACTATTGGTTATGTCAGCCTTGATCATTTGGTTAAGGTGATATCTTCCAGGATTCTCCACTATATAGTTACTATTTTTCCCTTTATAATAAATAACTAACTGTATTGGGGTATGTTATGGGTTGAATTGTGTTCAAAATAGATGGTGAAGTCCTAATTCCTAGTTCCTGTGAATGTAGCTTTATTGGAAAATATGGTTTTTACAAATATAAAGTTAAAGTGAGGCCATTAGGACAGGCCCTCATCCAATATGACTAATGTCATTATAAGAAGACAAGAAGAGACAAAGGTGCAGGGACAAACAGGAATAATGCCAGGTGAAAAAACTTCATGCACCTATAAGCCAAGGAATGCCTGGGGCTATCAGAAGCTAGGAGAGAGGCATGAACCAGTTCTCCCTCAGAGCCTCAGAAGGAATCAACACTGATGAATCTGAGTTCAGACTTCTAGATTCCATAAATGTGAGACAATAAATTTCTATTGTGTTAAGTGGCCCAATTTGTGAGACTCATGACAACAACCCTAGGAAACTAATATGGAGGAGATACATTTAGTAATAGAACCAGCCTTGATGATATGGATAAGGTAAAACTTTCGAGACCTCCATTTGCTGACATGGCACGCATCAAATTGAGGAGAAACAGCTGCAAACATCAATTAATAATCAGAACATGAAATGTAGGAAGCATGAATCTAGGAAAATTGGAAGTTGTCAAAAATGAAGTGGAACGCATAAAGATGATATCTTAGGCATTAGTGAGCTAAAATGGACTGGTTTTGGCCATTTTGAATCAGACCGCCATGTGGTCTACTATGCCAGGAATGACAATTTGAAGAGGAATGGCATGGTGTTCATCATCACAAAGTATGTTTCAAGATCTGCCTGACAGACAATGCTGTCACTGATAGTATTATATCCATATGGCTATAAGGAAGAGCTATAAGGAAATTGACCAAACATGTAATCAAGATGTGTTAATTATCACTGGTGTTCTGGTTACCTAGTGCCGCTCTGACAAGAATGTACCACAAATGGGATGGCCTTAACAAACAGGAGTTTGTGTGAAAGCCCCTCAACCTTGGGCTATAGCTCTGTCTCTCTCTGCCAGCCCACTGAAGCTAGAGGCATCTCTTTACTCAGGCAGCTACTGGCTATTGAGGCTAACAAGCCCAAGGTCGACAAATAAAATGGCACAGTCCCAATGTTACCAAACCACACAGCAGGCCATTAATTCAAGTCCACTGAAAATCTCAAAGTCGGCAGAGCATGGCAGGCTGCTGAACAATGACGCGGCTACATGCAGGGTTCAAGGTGCCATAAGCTAGAGACTATCCCCAGGGCTTTTCTTTATATACAAGAAGCAGACTACATCCCAATGGCAGCTACTCAGCTGTTTGTGGTAGATCCACCATGGAGTTGATTGCCAGTCTCGTCATGGGAAATAACTACCACCAGCTGCCCAGCCACTCAACCAGGTCCAGGCAAGCTGACATACAAATTTAACTACCACAGCTGGTGATGGGAATGCAGAAGTTGGAAACAAAGAAGAATCACCGTTAGTTGGAAAATTTGGCCTTGGTGACAGAAATGATGCTGGGAATCTCATGATAGAATTTTGCAAGACCAATAACTTATTCATTGCAAATACCTTTTTTCAACAACACAAATGATGGCTATACACATAGACTTCACCAGATGGAATACACAGAAACCAGATTGACTAAATCTATGTTAAGAGGTGATGTAAAAGCTCAGTATCTTCAGGCAAAACCAGGCCAGGAGCTGATTGTGGAACAGACCATCAACTGCTCATATGCAAGTTCAATTTGAAGTTAAAGACAATTAAAACAAGTCCACGAGAGCCAAAATATGATCTTGAATATATCCCTCCTGAATTCAGAGACCATCTCAAGAATAGATTGATGCACTGAACGCAATGACTGAAAACCAGAAGAATTGTGGTATGACACATACCACATCCATGAAGAAAGCATCATCCATGAAGAAAGCAAGAGGTCACTAAAAAGATGAAAGAAGGAAAGACCAAAAAGAATGACAGAAGAGACTCTGAAACTTGCCCTTGAGCAGAGAGTAGCTAAAGCAAATGAAAGAAATAACAAGATAAAAGAGCTGAACTGAAGATTTCAAAGAGCAGCTCAAGCAGACAAAGCCAATTACTATAATGAAATGTGCAAAGACTTGGCATTAGAAAACCAAAAGGGAAGAACACACTTGGTATTTCTCAAGCTAAAAGAACTGAGGAAAAAAATTAAGCCTCAAGTTGCAATATTGAAAGATTCTATGGGCAAAATATTGAATGATGCCGGAAACATCAAAAGAAGATGGAAGGAATACACAGAGTCACTGTACCAAAAAGAACTGGTCGATCTTCATCCATTTCAGGAGGTGGCATATGATCAAGAGTGAATGGTACTGAAGGAAGAAGTTGAAGTTCCATTGAAGGAATTGGCGAAGAACAAGGGAATACCCATTGAGATGTTTCAACAAACAGATGCCCTACTGGAGGCACTCACTCAGTTATGCAAGAGATTTGCAAAACATCTACCTGGCCAACTGACTGGAAGAGATCCATATTTGTACCCATTCCAAAGAAAGGTGATCCCACAGAATGTGGAAATTATTGAACAATATCATTGAAATTACACGCAAGTAAAATATTACTGAAGATAAATCAAAAAACAATTGTAGCAGTATATTGACAGAGAACTTCCAGATGTGCTAGCTGGATTCAGAAGAGGACGTGGAACAAGGGATATCATTGCTGCTGTCAGATGGATCTTGGCTCAAAGCAAAGAATACCAGAAAGATGTTTACTTGTGTTTTATTGACTATGCAAAGGCATTTGATTGTGGACATCATAACAAATTGTGGATGACATTGAGAAAAATGGGAATTCCAGAACACTTGATTGTGCTCATGAGGAACCTGTACCTAGACCAGGAGGCTGTTGTTCGAACAGAACAAGGGGACACTGCATGGTTTAAAATCAAGAAGGGAGTGAGTCGGGGTTGTATCCTTTCCCCATACTTATTCAATCTGTATGCTGAGCATATAATCTGGGAAGCTGGACTATATGAAGAAGAACATGGCATCAAGATTGGAGGAAGAATCATTTTTAACCTGTGATATGCTGACGATGCAACTTTGCATACTGAAAGTGAGGATGACTTGAGACACTTAAGGATGAAGATTGAAGAATACAGTCTGTGGTAAGGATTACACCTCAATATAAAGAAAACAGAAATCCTCACAACTGGAACTATAAGCAGCATAATGATAAATGGAGAAAAGATTGAAAGAGGTCCCTTGCAGCAGTCAGGACATTAGACAATGTATAGCACTGGGCAAGTTGGCTGCAAGGGACCTCTTTCAAGTGCTAAGGAGCAAAGATGTCTCCTTGAGGACTAAGGTGCCTGACACAAGCCATGATATTCTCAGTCGCCTCCTATGCGTGTGAGAGCTGGACAACGAATAAGGAAGACCGAAGAAGACTTGATGCTTTTGAGTTGTGGTGCTGCTGAAGAATGCTGAAAGTACCATGGACTACTAAAAGAACTAACAGATCTGTCCTGGAGGAAGTGCAGCCAGAATGCTCCTTGGAAGCGAAAATGGTCGGACTTGGCCTCACTTACTTTGGTCATGTTGTCAGAAGGGACCATTCCCTGGAGAAGGATCTCACGGTTGGTAAGGTGGAGGGTCAACAAAAGAGGGGAAGGCCCTCTGAGATGGATTGACACAGTGGCTGCAACAATGGGCTAAGTATAGCAAGGATCATGGATCAGGTGTGGGACCAGGTGGTGTTTCGTTCTGCTGTGCATAGGGTTGCTATGAGTCGGGCACGACTCAACAGCACCTAACAACGACACATTTAGGCTATGCAAATAACTGGTTTCTCCTCAAACTTTTGTCCACTAATTTTAGCAACCATTGGTAGATCTTGCTGACAAGAATTATTACCATGGTGATTTTTCTGTTTCCCTTGTTCCTTCTATGTTTATAAATTGAAAATTTTCTGTAAGAAAGAGCTGTCTGTTTTCCGCACTTATTTGCTTACCTAAGTATAGATTCATAGATATTTATTTGTTCTATGTG